GAGATAATAGAGTCAGCTTATATTCAGTAATAGGGCTGGTCTTTTCAAATATGGGTCCTGTCCAGGTGAAAGATTGAATACAGAGACATGTGATAAGAAAAAACCTGAAGAAAAATGGGGTCCTTTCTGCAAATTCTTGCTTCATACAAAAACAGGGTAAACACCACCACTGTGATATAATTCAGGAAGCCAATTTTAAATATCAAGAGGGATGCAATATGATGCTAGCATCCAATTTAAATGTGTATTGCAGTACACACTATTCACAGACCGGCGATATTTTCATATCGTTTCAGCGTCAAAAATCATTGCATCTTGCTGTATTCCATGTATTTGTATATATATCATTGCATAATGTTATTTCTCACCTGTGGATACAAATTTTACATGCAAATCTGGCCTGCCGTGCTCAGGTGCATTGCAGAAGGTGCATCATGTTATTAAACGTTATCTTCTCACCAATGTTCTTATCACAGCAAAATTTACATTTAAGGTGGGTTTTTGGGGAAAGCTGTAGAGGAAAAAATATCATTGAGTTCTAAAAATAAAACATCAGATAGATTTTACAGTTAGTTCAAGCTGAGGACGATAATATAATTACAAGTAAGTAGTGGTCTGTATGCTATTAGACATGTGCGTACATCAATCAGATGTGTTCATGAGATTTGAAAATCTTTGAAACGTAATTATGTTTATGTAATATACAAAACTCGATATCTTAAAAATGAATTTTTTGTTGGTTTTTGTAAAATTTTCACACCATAATTTGCCTGGAATATCGATACCAATTAAAAGGGTTTGACATATTATGCTCATTTATTATGAGTGCAAGTGGTTCTTTTTTAAATGGAAATTATTGCACAATTCTCAAAATTCTTATTGCTCTAGATGTCTTGGTAAAACTCAAAAACACATGTTTTGCTACCTCTAAAACGGGAAGTGATAACCTTGCAAAACTGTGTCAAGGACTGAATACTTCTGCATTGGCATAAACTGAATCAAGTGAATACAAACTTCAGTGAAACTTAACATAATCAGCCTAGATAGTATAGTGTCCAGAGCTCTCACAAGTTATCTAGGATGTTGTGTGGTTTACTGTACTGTTTGTTAGTACACCGGGTCACAGTTTGGATGACTTGGGAGTAATCCTGAAGGTTGAACGCACCTACATAACAGCTGAGTTTGGCAGTGTGTACAGCCAGATGTGAACTAGACTATAGACCATGCTGTAAATACCTTACCACATAATCAATGAATATTGATAACTCTCACCTACACCAGTTTGTAAGCATCTCTTGCACCATTGACTCGTACTGGCGGTGCAACATCCATATATACACTGGTTTTCAGTGGTTGATTACTTACAAGTTAGATAACAATCTGAATCAATTTGTTATTAATTGTGGTTCAATATATATGCCGATTCAAACACATAAATTGTGATACAATCAATATAGACAATTTAATTTGTGGTTGTATAGGTATTCTGATATTGTATTTGAATATGAGTTTTCTGTGCACAGTAGCTAGCTATAGGTTGGTGTTCTGCCCTTAGGTACAGCTGCTCATTTCTATCTGGTATGTACTGTACTTGGGCTAATACAAGAGGCCACTTCCCTACAGCTCACAGAAGATGAACTTGAGGGGAGCTACTGACACCGGAAGCCCATACTTTTCATCCGTAAAGAAGTTTATATCATACAAATGAAGGTTTTCTTATGAATCATGGACATTTAATGACAGGATATGTCTAATGCTGTAATCAAACTGACAACTGTTGTCATTTGGTCATTATGTTCGTATACATTTAAATGTGTAAAAACAGTAATTAAATGATATGATGTTGGGTCACAGTTAAGTTTATGACAAGAGGTCTTTCCCTGCATTACATTTCTAAAGGAATATGGAGACATCCAGTTGTTTTCCTTCATTGTGGTAGTGCTGTCCTGATGGAAGCTGATGGCATGTACCAGGTACATCCTTCGAGTAGACCATAAATTAGGTCTGAATAAGACACAGTTGTACATGGGGAATACATGGGGAATACAACACCTATTTTAGTTACGTTTGGGTTGACACATTCAAATTGTTCCCACCAAATACAGAAAGCTTGTCATTTCCATTATGACGCCTTATCATGTTGATCAGGGGTGTCCTGAGTCTGACACTTGAGTTGTCATTGGCGGCCAGGGATCCCTCTGAATGTTACACACTAGTTCTCCGTGGCAGAAATCACGGGCACAAAAGACTTCCGGTTGGTCTATACCACTTGTGTCTGGTGTCACCTACTGGTTCCTCCCATGGCTTACGTATACATTCGTCAAGACATTACAGCTTACGCATAGGTTTTCCTCAGTATTGAAGATAATTATTTGTACAGTTTCAGTTAAAATGTTCCAATAGATAGACTCTGTTACATTAGATTATATACTGATGCATACAAAGAAAATAATCTGCATTAAGTGTGATACATATCAAAACTTTCTATTATACATAAGTAAAAAAAACAAATTTGCAAATTTCAAAAAATCTAAGCAGGGTCCAAGGTTTAGGGTAGGGGGCACACAAGTTTACCTAGCAGGGTCCAAGGTTTAGGGTAGGGGGCACACAATTTTTGCTGAAAAGAGGACAAAAATATGGGTTAAATGTCAGGTAAAGCTTTGTGTTGTTTCTTAGGAAATTATTTACTAGACTGTCAGATTTTTGTTGTTTGATTTTACCTTTCCTATATAAACATTACAAATGCCATTTTAAAGACACAAGAATATATATAGTCCCTGCGTCTGGGAGGCCCAGACAAAGTTACAAAGATTTCACTGGGCACAATATTCTGCTGAATAGTTAAAATGATATTTGTTTAGAATAATAATGTAATCATAATAACGGTAGTTTTGTTTATGTGTTGACAAGGTTGAAGAGTCAGTCATTTACAACCGTATCAATTTATGAAAATTAGAACTAATATTGGCACGTAATCTAATTATCTTTCTGGAGCATCAGAGTGATATCTTTCGATAAGCATAAAGATGTTCACATGATTAACAACAATTCACGTCTAGAAGTGAAAGCTACCGTATGGGTATACAGAACTATGTATTTGGTGTCACTTAGGGGCAGGACATGCATGCTCAAGTTGAACAGGAAGTGTTATAGGGGGTCAGAGTACTGGCTCCTTCAGGGGCCCCAGATCTCTTCTGTTGCATAGGACAAAGGTCTACTGGGGCAATTAGGCTATCTAATACGAGGTTCAACACAAGTTTGTACAATGTACTGTTACAATCCAATAAGTGATGTTTGTGTACTGATGCCAAGTGTACAAGAACAGTATATCAAAATAAGAAATATCTTTAAAAAAAGTTAAGAGAGCAGATTTTTCATGTATTTGGTTTAAGTGTACTGGTAAGTGTGAAATACACAAATAGATAAAGAGACATTACTGAAATTAATCATTGCTAGTAAACAAACAGATATCACATGTTATGATCTTGTATTATTCCTCCTATTAAAATATTGACTGGAATGCTGTGTACATGTTAATATATGTGATGTCACTTGTGCTTGTAGTATACAGACATTAATCAATCTTTGGCGATACCATGTATTACACTAAAGATGCTGCTTTGAGTAAACAGCCTATGTTAACATACATGTACAAAACGTGTGGTTCTGTCACCATTTTTAGACGTCCATACCAGATACAACAAACGACACATTTATTCTCATCTGAAGTACCAAATTGTTGACAAATCCAAGAAGCAACCCAGATTCATTTTGCACTGTATGCGTCAAATGACACAATGAAGCCAAAAGTGATATATCTAATGGCTCTGCGTTTATTTCATCACTATGGTGGGAGTTCTGAAGCTGCCCAACACTTAAACATGTGTTGGTTTGTGATTATCTCATAATCACATACTTACAGAACTTAGCAACAGTATTAGGATTGAAGTATTATTTTAAAGAAGTTATTGGCAAAAAAATCATAAATTGGTATGCTAACTATTTCATCATAACTTCGATGTTGCTTACCAAAAGAAATAGTTTCAAGAATGTTTATTAATTTTGACAAAAGCACTTCCCAAACTTGATTGATATTGGCCCAGGTATTTTTGCAGGGTTCTACAGGCAAGTCCTGCACATATTTTAATGTTTTGATTGAGTCCCATTATTTAAATATAGAGTGCACTTATGTGGGTGCCTAAAGGGTCCAGAACTCTAATTTCTGAGTCCCAAAAATCATTGACTGTTACGTACCATGTTATATGTTGTAGAAATTTCATTATCTCAGTCAATCTTATCATGATGAGCGACATACATGTGTATTTCCTACCAGCATGATGACATTTTCAGGGTCGACTCAATAACATAACATCATCCAAATAAATACTGCCAGTGTCACATGTACAATCTGGAGCATTGAACTGTATACTACATTAAGTGCATAGCCTGCTTACCATTGTGAACTGTAGGTGATATTGTACTAGAATGACTCAGATAGAGACCATACAGCTGCTACTATACTTTGTAGTCAGCAATACAAACATTGCTTAAGCACGAACAGAAAAAAGACACGTTATTTTAGAAGGTGTGAATGTTGCATACAATTTCCTGTCATCTTTGTGACCCTACCGATCAACGTGTCGGGGCCCAACAAGACAGTGTTAAAGTTGTGTATGCTCGCCTTCTGTGTCACAAAATGCCTATAAATTTGCTCTTTCATCTTTTGTTCCTAGGTCAATAACGTTTTGATATATTTAAGGTCAATAAACTACATGATTAATTTACCTGATATTGTACTCCGCGTTGGTAAACAAAATAGGTTGAAGTTGTTATTATCTATTTTGTTTTTATACACAGAAAGGTCAAGAATACAGATATTTTAGTTTTTACTACTAATATGTATGATATAAAAATTCTGAAATATATGATAAACTGTTTTAAGTTAGAGAATTCATGTTTTTGTGGTAGCTGAATTTTAATGGTTGTTTTTTGTTTTTCAGTGAGGAGTTTCTTGTGCGTGTACAGGCACAAGTTATGACCAGGGATGATTCAAGTGGGGGTTGGGTGCCAATGGGAGGGGGTGGGCTAAGCAATGTGGGTCTACGGAGACTGGTGAAGACAAATGGTGAAGACCACACTAGGAATGAATATTTAATACTGGGAGAAAGACTAGCAGACAAATCAGTAAGTATTCAATACATTTTGGAATCCTTCTTCAAATTACTTCTTAATACACAAACAACATGTACTAGAAATATCCCACAAGACAAGACAATAGTTGAAATATTTACACTGCACTTGGTATGAACATTGTCACATTACAGTTTGTGCCAGTATTTCATACACATTCTAAAAAAACCTGAAATTTAACCATAATTTCATCAAATGATGATAAATGGACATAGCTGGACATGTACAGTGGATAGAAAATTATGTAGACGTTTTTCTATGGGGAAAAAACCCTGGTAGATGGTTGCACCAAGCATTTCCATACATGGCGATCATGAGTGGACCCTTATAACAATGTCAAGTTGTTAATCTTTACACTAGTCTTACTTAAAGTATCGTTTTATACAGTTGCCAAGTCTAACAAATATTTAACAAAACAGGATCAGTCTCTTGAATAATGAAACAAGACTTGTCTGCCCCACAAGTCCTTATAACTTCTAAATGCTGGTTTTCTGGACTACATCTGGCAATGTAAGGTGGGTTGCCTTCGGGATGTTGGAGATCCAAATTCCCTGGTATAGGTATATATGATTTGTTCCACAGGATTGCAGTGACTAGACTGTATGGTGCATAAAGTTCACAGATCTATAGATATATACTACTATAGGAACAATATTGGTGGACAAATACCTCTCTGTGAGCAAATAATTCATGTACAGGTATATGGACTCTAAGTGAAATGTTAAAATTTTGATCAGGTCTGTGTACAGATAAGGCTAAAATGGTAGGAAATGTGAGACGTGAAGAACTGCTACAACAAAGTCCTGGCACTAGCTGTTGGGTACTTCGTGGAGCTTGACGGATCTGATCGCCACCCACGCACAAACACCGGACAAAACTGTATCAATTATACATTGGCCCATGAATATTTCATTATCACAGATAAAACCCAACAATAATTTCAATTGAATTTTAAATGCAAACAAGCACTCCTGGGCGAGTCTTAATATATAGACTGATACGTATACGCTGAGGGCAGTCTTCAGTACTTAATTTTGTGTATTTCAATCGGCTAACCCCTAAGTTAGGTGAACAGAACATGATGTGTTATGAAATAACAAATTCACTGTATGGCCTGGGAACACCAGTATTTAACATCTTGGCATCTTTAACAATTTTAGCACTAAATCAAAGTACAGTATACTAGTGTCCTAATTAAGTAATTTTACTGTCTATATGTATTGATTACATCATATTATATGTACCTGAGGACATCATACAACTGTCTTTAGTGTAACATGTTTCTTATACTCTTGCATATTTTAATGTCTATGTTTTACCTGAGATGGTCACACCTGCAAACATCATGAATGTACTGTAATATAATATGAAAAAGGTGTGTTTGTAAATCTCCAATATGAACTATATGTATAACGAACTTATCCACGCCAAGTTGTCAAGTATGCCCCAACTTTTGTTACATGTGAATAAAAGAGAGGCTGAAAAGTGAATGAATACAGTTTTATGTTCATCTAGCTATACAGGGGAAAATACACACAATGTACGTACCCATAAACACTGGCAACATCTGGCTGAATGGGATAGTACAAAAGTACTTGTGCCCTTCCCCAGTACAATCTATAAGTTTATATTTAGTCTACATGTGATGAAAGGATGCTGGTGTGTTGGGTGCTAACAAATGAAGCTCTGTTGCCCACTACATAAAGAAATCCCCATAATTATGATATTTAAAAAAAAGATATTTTTTTTTATTAAGAATATATTTGTTACCTTACTGAAAAATGCACTGCCTTTCCGAAAAGAGATTGATTCTGAAATATATCATTTAGAGTATTTTGTAAGGACTTGAGTAAACTCACTTTGCATATGGTGAATCATTTGAAGGGATAGATTGAGGTACATGTACACTTGAATTGTGAACATAAAAGAAAACAAAATCAGATACAAATGACAAGTACAATATGTAAGGTTTATGACTAATAAAAGAATTACATACATGGTTATACTATTAAACCTATTTTTGTATTGCTATTTGACCTTACTGTCCTATCAATAGAGTAATCTAGCATTACACCTAGAGGCAGCATCTGAAACAGATGAAACACTGTGTGCATCATAGTATAGTGAAACATCAAGTCAAATCTGATGTTGGACATTACTAGGCACAATGTTGATGTGGGCGTAGAGTTGGATGGACTTCTTCAGTAAGCTCTCCACTACTGGGTCATGGGTTGGAGGCCTGCGTGGGGTAGTCACCAGGTACTGGTAATAGGTTGATGCTTTCTCTCTGAGTACTTCGTACTTCCTCCATCACAAAATCCTTGCAATTGCATGTCCTTAATTGACCCAACCTGTTAATAGGACATAAATAAAACATGTACAAACCAAATTACTGTAGTAAACAGTATTCTCAATAAGTTTTAAAATGGGTGGTTGACTTAAAAAGAATTGCCGGTTGAAGGTTCACAATCTAAAAGTATTGTTGACCTAAACAAGAAATTGTGTAAGTAAACTACAGGTTTATTCTATAATCTGAAATGTATTTTTCAGGTGGTGCTGGACTGTATACTAAAACGAGATATTCGTTATACAAAAGCCAACCCTAAATTTCACCACTGGCAGACTGATGACAAGAGGTTTGGTTTGACATTTGAGAGGTCTGACGACGCCAAGGCGTTTGACCGGGGAATTCGGCGTGCAGTTGCTGATCTAGTGGACGGTAAGCTACTCCTGGTTGTGATCCTGAACACACTGTTTTATGTCCCGCTGTTGTGTGCTTGTACTTTTCTGTTGTTTAATACATTTTCAATATAATGATTTCTTTGGCTATCTTTACCTGTTAATGATCTTGTATTCAACAATCACCATACATGTCCCTATCAAATTAAGTCCATTTAAACTTACCGGTAATATGTCCCTCTCTATTGATCTAACACATGACATTATTCACCATATAAAGTCCTTAACTCATGAATTGGATGAAATTGACTTGCAGTTGCTCCTTTCTGAAAATTCTGAAAGTTCACGGAATTTGGTGAAAGGATGGAAGGGCTGTTGTCAAAATTTATTACTGAATTTAATTATTTCATTAACCCATAATTAATGCAGATATATAGGTCTCACACAGACAACATATATTATGTTAATCTCCCGAATGACTCAGGATAGATATTCATACATGTAATTCATCTCACAAATATATATAAGGTAACACAATGTTATAATATATGTAACAGGGGGACAGGAATGTATGCTCTTTACATGTATTATAGATGTAACCAATGTTGTTTACATGTACTCGAGATCTAACCAATGTTGTTTACATGTACTCGAGATCTAACTAATGTTGTTTACATGTACTCGAGATCTAACCAATGTTGTTTACATGTACTCGAGATCTAACTAATGTTGTTTACATGTACTCGAGATCTTACCAATGTTGTTTACATGTACTTGAGATCTAACTGATGTTGTTTACATGTACTCGAGATCTAACCAATGTTGTTTACATGTACTCGAGATCTAACCAATGTTGTTTACATGTACTCGAGATCTAACTGATGTTGTTTACATGTACTCGAGATCTAACTGATGTTGTTTACATGTACTCGAGATCTAACTGATGTTGTTTACATGTACTCGAGATCTAACCAATGTTGTTTACATGTACTCGAGATCTAACCAATGTTGTTTACATGTACTCGAGATCTAACTAGCAATGTTTCATTCCCAGTTTAATGATAAAATTAACATAACTAAAGAAAGGTTATCATATGGTACCAAGAATTAAATCCACAAACAGTCCATACCTTAAAAATCTCAACATGGCTCTTTGCAGAAAGAAACCAGTAGATATCTCTGATGTGGGTTATCACCAGTATACATATCTCTGATGTGGGTTATCATCAGTATACATATCCCTGATGTGGGTTATCACCAGTATACATATCCCTGATGCAGGTTATCATCAGTATATATCTCTGATGTGGGTTATCACCAGTATATATCCCTGATGTGGGTTATCACCAGTATAAATCCCTGATGTGGGTTATCACCAGTATATATATCCCTGATGTGGGTTATCACCAGTATGTATATCCCTGATGTGGGTTATCACCAGTATATGTATTCCTGATGTGGGTTATCACCAGTATATATATTTCTGATGTGGGTTATCACCAGTATATATCCCCGATGTGGGTCATTACCAGTATGTACAGTCATCTGTGATGTGGGTTATTACCAATATTTCCCTGAAGTTGGTTATCACCAGTATATACCTCTGGTATGTGTCATCACCAGTTTATATTTCTTGATATGGGTTATCACCTCCGAGTAAAGATATTCCTTTAGGGTTAGGTCAAACAAAATGAATTCTTTTGTTTCTACCTTTGGCAAGAGGCAGTTTTAGAGTGATTGGGTAGGGAAAGCAAAACAAAACTTTTGCCTCAACACTAGCAGTAGGCGTTATCATTTATTCAGGAATATAGCCATTTTTTATGCTGTGTGAAGGTTATTGCAAAGTGTGGTTTTAGTATGGGGTTAGGTACCTGTAACGTGTGTGTTTAATATTTAATGGTACTTTGGGTTGATACTGGTGCAATACATTCCAATGGCTCTACATCAGATCCATGCATGCATAACTTACACCCACTGTACTGCTATAGTTAATAAATGTAATGCAGTTCATTAATACCATCTTAGATAACTCTGGGGCTGTGTTTGGGGTGTAATGTATGCGTGTGATGACATATAAAGGGTTAATCAACCCGTACCCACACACCCTAAATGGGCTAAATAGACCTATTCCCTAATGAAAATCTCTTTTTTCTTTTTAATTTGTCAGGATAAGAACCTATGTCATAGTTTGTCTAATTTTAGTTTTTATTTAGTTTCACTACTACCTAGAGTACATGATTTGTGTATCTAGGTGAACCTGCAGTGTCCTCCCTATTTTGAAGCTGATTACCGTTAATTGTTGCCTATAACATCTGGAGTAAGGTGGGGTGGGATTTTAAAGAAAGAAGGAAGGGATAGACAGTGATATTCCAAGATTTTATATTGAAATGTACAGCTGATGACAGTAAAGGAGCTGGCCACAAAAATGGCAGAGTACTTGTTGACAAATTGCCAGGTGCCAGCTCTTATTGACAGCACAGTACGAAATGGCTTAGGCCTAGCACGATAGGGCCAACTAGATATAGAGGAACTGGAACGATTGACTAAGTGTACAACCTGGCTTACAACAAAGAGTCACTAAATGTGCAAAGGGTCATTAGATGTACAACTAACATTGAGCCATGTACAGCAAGGAGTGATGAGGCATACAACAGGGAGTGACTAGGCAGGCACTAGGGAAATCCCCTCCTGTAGGATTGCCTCCATGTTTCCTGTAATGGTCCTGTACAGAAGCAGGTCTGGGTGTAAGCCTAGCTTGCCTTTCATCAGCCTTTCACCAGCCTTTCATAGCATGTCTCTTCATGTAGTGGGGTCCTCAGACCATTAAAAGCTTTTGTTTTTCCTTCGTGAGAACGGATCACATCCGGTTGTTGTTGTTGAATGGTACTGTACATACATCAAGTCATCCAGCATCTGTGTGCTACTACTACCGTAGACATGCTGATACAGCTATGGAAGAGTAGTGTACACTACAACTTTAATCTTATCACATTCTAGCCTATGTATTGAAATATTTTTACTCTGTTCACAGAATTACACACACAAATTGTTAAAATGATAAAGTAAGTGCATTTGTGTAAAGAATGAGTTAAAACTTTTTTATGGGTCATGTATTTCTTGGTAGAGAACTTCACATTGGTGCAAGTGTACCTAAAAATGTATACAAATGTATATAAAATAAGGAGATTAGGAATTAATCGGATCATTAAGTTAAGTATATATTTGGTAGTGGAAACACAGACATGTTAGGTAAGGTATATATTGTGTAGTGGGAACATAGTGGAGTTCAGAATAACAGCAACTTGTATCGGAACAGTATTACTGTATCCTCAATGTAAATATAAAAAGTGTACTATAGTTACTGTACATGTGTAGACAATGAACCTGGGCCAAGCCATACACAGCAGCTTTATCAATGGATTCCTACAAGCCAGAAGTTAAAATTTTATCCTGGTCACCTTCACACATGCAAGTCATTAGTTGAGCTGTGTGTAGGTAGAGGGCTAATGCAATACACACTGGTTCACCTGGTAAATAATGCCCCACCCCTTCATTTCCATCAACAGTATACCATGGGTCACAAAACCAGGTAAATAACAAGGTCAGTGGGGGTCAAATTACGTAGATACTTGATACCTGCCTGCATAAAGAAAATATATCCTTTATCAGGCAACTTTTATTTCTGTTCAAAAAACAAACATTTCTCCAAAGGGCAACAATACTGCACAAAACAAATGCTCACGTAATCCCAGGAAGTATATAGAGGCACAAATTTCCATTTATTTACTGGAATACATAGACAGAAAACCACTAAGTATCCCAAAAAGCACTCAAAAGAAATAATTAATATCCAGCCATTGAGACTAGACGTCACAGATCAAACATACATACTGTGATTAATTCTCGGGCCCCTGTGATTAATTCTTGGGCCCCTGTGACAATTAAGATGCGAGACTGCATCGGGTTACACATTTCTGTGAGTTATTTTCTGGGTATTTTGGGATTTCTTTTGTTAATTAAAGTCTGATTTTTGGAATGCATGTACAAAGTCATGTATTTTAGAATAAGTACCACCATTTTATTTAGGCGGGTGGGGGATTATATACAAAACCTACTTTTTGTTTACTGCTTGGGAATTCAAGTCCATTTTTGGAATTAAAAAAAACACCATTTTGTTTTGGGGAGAACCCTATTTACATAGTCAGAAAAATACACTGGATATATTTTGACTACTTCAAGCATCTGATACCAAAATGTATGACGATGTTTTGCCTCCTCCCAATCATATGATGTGTTTAAACTATCAAACACTGTAACATAGGTGACGTATGGTGCTTTAATATTTTCTTTTCAGGTAGTTCATTTAATTATTTACATGTAGTAGAATTTCCTCAATCACAACACTAGGCAAATCAGTGTTCAGTTGTTGGGAGAAATGTTTTCTGGAGCCTCAACAAGAGAGGATGTTTGTTTGGAGAAAAGCCTTGTTGGGATCTAACCAGTGGAGGAGGTTAGGAATAAGCCTTGTTGGGGCCTCAACACCTTCTTTTGCCTGCACATGAGCATCTCCGCTGTTGATAAGCTGGCTGGTCACAGCAGTTTACTATTGGCAGCAAATTACCAGCAGATTGTGGAGGGGTGCTAGTGTAACAGACAGGAGGAATACTGGCTGGCTAATTAACACAAAATTATGAATGAAAAACCAGAGATAAGAGCACCTGATATATGGCCAGATATTATGAATGGATCCTCAGGAGGGCTTTTAATGAATGGAAGTTAACTGTGTGGCGGTGTAAATTATGAACAAGGCTTACATTACTTTAGTGTGTGGTGGTTAATGAGTTTTACCATGATGTGATGTATACGTTTTTATGTACAGATGATACAAGTGTCATATATTTATGGTAACCTACTAGATATGTAAATGTAAAGGTGACAGTAACACTGGAAGTAATTGTTCATGCATGTCAAATTGGGGTTGGCACTTTGTACTAGGGAGTTGCTGGTGAGTTGCTTGACAAGTGACCTGAAAATTAATTTAAAACCCAGCTACAGTATTTTGTTTTTTTGTTGTTGCCTGGCCTGGCCTTGGGGCTACATAGCATTGTAGACAGGCTATGTAGAATTGTCAAGTAGGCACAGGCTATGGTTATTGACACAGCTCTTTAGTGGTCAAAAAAGCCACTATTATCATTGTGGTCAGGGGCCATTCATGAATTAAAAACCACAGGCCATTCATCTGACTGAGCCAGACCTGAGTAGGTCAGGCAGATGTGGCTTGACCAGGTGACTGGTCCTGACCAATCATCCATTCACATGCTAATAGCCTTGCTTATAAATTTATGAATGACCTACACATCCTATCCAATATAATGTAGCCATCAACAGATTAAGGCCAGATCATTGGGCCTGCTCTCCCTATCAGGACTGTGTGGAGTGCTGTGTGTGTGTATAGCTGACTCAGAGTGTGGCTGCATCCACTATAATCAGTAGGGGAGGTTAGGTATGACATCCGGTGAAGGTGTATGATGGCCTGGATCACAGGTATGAATGAAGGCTGGATACACCACCACAGTATAACACAAGACAATTATTATATAACAGAGCCAGGCCTACCAAATGTTCTGTTGCCCAGGGCAGTTAGTATACTTTCCCATTAAATGTATAGTCTGTTTCAATTTGGTAATTACCAAACTGTCATTTAGGATCAGGCCAAACCTTCATGATTATAACATATGATAAACATTTTATTTGTCGCCTGAACTGAGAATGAGAAATGTCGACGTACATTTATAATTCTCAATCCTGGAGGAAATGATCAATTGTCTAACAATTATCTAAAAATGTGTAGATCATGTCATTATCATGACCACCAATACTACTAGATGTACACACCTGGGGAATAGTAATGACAGTCCCTGTGTACTGATTTCAAAACAAACTGTGTACACCATTGTTGTTGTCATCATAATTCCTGCTGAATTTGTTATTTGCTTGATTTCTGTTTGAGGGTGTTCTGTCTTGTCTGTGTGTGGCATTCATTTGTGTTATGTACAAGTGTCTCCCTTTACCTGCTCTCACTGTATATATATTCAGTGTGTGAAAATGATAAGAGAGAAACTCAGACTCTATTTGAAGATCTGGTGTAAAAAAAACAATTGGTGTATGTTAACATTAATTAACCCACATCTGTATTGAAGTCGAAATCATCTGAAAGAGTTTTTCTCCAGACATTAAACAATATTTGTGAAATTGAAACCGGAAAGAGACATGAGAAAACGGAAAGAACAAAACAAATTTGTCTTAGTGATATAAGGATATGGACAGTAAGTTTATGCAATATATATTTAACCTTTTGCCTATTGCTTTCACATAATGATATCGCTTTAAATGCAATGTTTTACATATGTTTATACATATTATTGCTGGTTACATACAATTAGTTATGATAAGATGTCGAAGGCATTTATTTCTCAACACTTTGCACATTCTTACAGTTTAATTTGTGTTGTTGTACATTGAATGAACAATTGAAATTAGACCTAATTGCACATTATTAAACTATTTCTCTTATTTGCTTTTTATGCTGCTTTATGTTTTGGATTTGTAAATGGTAAGTTTCATTATATATATATATATTCCTCCACTTAGTGTTATTAAGGAGGCTCCACCCTTTCGCAATTAACCAGCAGAATTCAATGAAAGTTTCACATAATGGTTATAATTATGTTGCTATGCAGAGATGATTTTATGAAAAACTGAGCATTCTGATAAACTGGGTATTGTCAAATTTAACACTTTCACATTTATAGTGTGTGGCAATAAAATAGTGAAAAGAAGCATTGCTAATCAACCCTACAAATATTTTATTTATCATAAAATATCTAGAACATGTTAAACAAAATGTTTTTTATTGAAATTGTATGGATAAAAGTAATGATATACAAGCTAAAAGCATACAGGACATGTAGATTCATACAAAAAGAGTGAAAAATTGAACCAAATATACACCCAAGTCTCTATTATTCATTTATTTTACATTTTACAATCATTTTGATCCTGATGAGAGTTGTCTACCTTGAATGAATGTAGACATCAGTCTACATTCCATGTGCCTCAAATACGACTTTCTTAAAGTCGTCTGATCTGATGTCAGTGTCTTCCCGTAAGTTCGTTTATGTCTTTGTATCGGAATCTTTGTTTCTGAAGTACGTGTGATTACAGGTTTCCAAGTTAAGTCTCGATATTGGGTGTTGACATATCATCGTCACGCACGTGTACTATTGTTTACCTGATGTAACTATAATTTACACTACGGTAATGGAATGCTCAATATCCCATTCGGAAATGACGACAAAAAAATACGACAAGAAAAACATGTGTACTAGCTAGGAAGGGTGGGAGGTCCTTAAAGGTAACACAGTCAGTAAAGCATTATAAGGAGTAGTGGGGACTAGTCCACTGCCAGAATGAATACCTGGGTACATACCCTTGTGTCACTCTTGGTCGCTCCCTGGGAGATTTGTAGGATGTAAACCTCGGGCAAAACCCTCTAGTTTTTCCCGGTCATCACTTCATACTTGCAGGAAGTTTATCCAACCTTTAGGGTAATGTACAGAGATCTATCCACAGGTGGAAATTATTCTTCCATTCCTTCAGGATAGGGAATTATCTTTTTTTTCTACCCCAATTTCCTCCAAACCAAGGAATAAAAAGGTTATTTTGCCTTGTAAGTCAATGGCATTGGTACTAGTATAAGAATTGTTTATGGCAATGCTTTTAACTGTTAAAAAAAAGGGGGGGGGAAACATATTACATATTTTTCAAATGTGATTATGAACACACTTTACTTGAGCTATTGACTACCCAGGGTAAGACAGAACCATCTTACCCTGATGTCCATTGAGGAGAACTATTGATCTGTTTGTCACTGATGACAGTCGGATTGATCTTTAACATTGTGTACACATACGTTCAAATCCTTCAGATTCTGTGTTTATAATTTCATTAGGTAATGTCCAAATATTTCTGATCTACTTTTCAATGTCTGATGAAATGTTTTTACTTTTTTCAGGGGTGTGTAATATAGATGGAGATGAAGAGGTCTTTGTGGTAAGTGTCCACTATTTTTGCACACTTACAATTTATTGAACACATTTGATTGAGAAACAAAAATGTTTCATTATTTACATTGGTTCTGATCTTACACACAAAATCAGCATATAGCTTGTAGTGGTAGTCATAGTGTTTCCAGATAATGTTTGTTCTGGAACCTTTTGCCAGTAACTCTGCTACACAACTGATATTTGTACCATTGTACACCCTGTGTGATTTTTGACTTATTTTCTGCTTGTCATTGACATTTATGTGGCAGAGTATCAAATATCATCTCTCTTGTTAACTGAGAAATTTGAAAGCATAGCTGGCCATTGGGGCCCACGTTCAAGCAACCCTTCTTTCACTTTTTGTGCAAATGTCATTATTGTTAAATAATTATTATCTAATAAATGTGTTTGCTGAAATGCGTGTTCAGATATGCTTGAGATATTTTTTAAATATATTTTTACAATACTAATTTGTCTATAGATTCAGCATACCGATTCGAAGAAATTATGGCATTACAAAATAACAGCATTAAGATATCCAGTTCCTTCTTTTTCAAAGTGAAACTCTTTGTTTAAAGTTGTGATTCCTGCTGATCATGCATCTTTAAAAAATCAAAGCAGAAAAACACTGTAGTTCTATTTTAATCAAGACACTGTCATCTTTTGTGAATAAAGAGAGTCAGGTTAGATTTACAGGCTATAAAAGATGCTGATCTGCTAGTACAGAATTAAATAATAGGACGAGATGAAAAGGCTTGCTATAGCTATTTCTAAGAATATATTATAAATTTTAAAAAAAAATGCACTGCAGGTAAGACGAAGGGGAGTAACTCTTTCTTTATTTGTGACTTGCTTGTGGTTAACCATGTTTTTTTCATATTATAGCTGCTGGACCTTCCAATGTCAGGCCAGTCATCACAGTCTGCCTCCACAACATCTACAACCACAAGTAGCCCTACCCCTCAGTCTCCGGAGTCTACAATATCGGGCCTACCAGAGTCCTTCCAGTTCAGCCCACATGCTAATCATGGGCATCTACACCGGGTGCACTATATCCCTTCAACGTCACCTCACCGGAATGTGACGAGCGGCAGTGTCAATAAGCCCTCATCACCCCCTAGTGACAAATCTAGTAGTAGTAAGTCAGACACAATCGATACTAGTAGTTTCAGTCGAGATGATATATGGATCAAGCCTGATGATCCAACATCTTTGAGCGGTAAATCAGAGCAGGTTCTTCTAGACTGTACAGATAATCTAGAAATGAAGGACTACCAATATGTAATATTTGCCAAAAGTAAACAACATGAATATAGCTATCCGACCTTAGAGTCAGTACAGAAACCACCGTCGAAACGTGAATCGACAAGTAATATCAAGAGACAGCCTTTGATCCAGCAACTCCCACCTTTACCCAGAAAGCAGAAAGACAAGAATAGAAAAACAACACAACGGTTGATACCACAGCAGAAGTCACGGTGTAAACACTGCCACGAACTGTTTTCTCATGAGGAGAATGGGCGGGGCAGTTGTGAGGATGCACCTGATGGGTTGGAAAAGTGTATAGAATGTGTCACTTGTGTGTGGTGCCCCAAGTGTATTATCTACCACTGTATGTCCGACCCAGAGGGAGACTATGGACACCCGTGTATGTGTGATACAACTGATGACTCCAACTGTAAGAAGTGGACTGCTTTGACAATTCTTTCCCTGTTTGTTCCGTGTTTATGGTGCTATTGGCCTCTGATGGCCTGCCACAAGTGTGGGGTAGCCTGTGGCTGCTGTGGGGGCCGACACAAGGCTGCGTAGCATGTGTCAAAGAGCCACCAACATACATACCATAATTGTTTTCGTGGAGTGCGTTATCAAGCTGTGATATTTGGTCTTTATTTCTGATCTGTTATTTCCTATTTTGAACTACATTTGTATACTATCCTTTTAAATTCTCATACATTAAAGGTGAGTCTATTTATGGCTCAGACTTTAATTGTGAGACACTTTGCAATGTTTGGATATTATATGGTATCAGACAGAGGTAGTATTGTCTCCCCTTAATGAAATGAAGTGAAAAACAGTAGGTCTGGCAATGGTCAAATAGTTTTAATTTCAAGAATTACAGCTTGTGACAACAATCTAATTGCAATTTATTTGCATTTTGTCACCTTTTGGCAGTTCATGTATTGTATAGATTCTAGATTAGAATTTTATTTTGATATCCACAAAGGGTTGCTTGTGAAATTCTCGATTTAAAGTTAAGCTACCTCAAGCTCTAAATGATTTTTTTTCATATCTTGCCTACTACACAAATATTTTGTAACTTTCTTTCGTTTTCATTAACAACTATATTTATTTCCTAGTTTCTGTTCTGATGTACCATATATATGTAAAATATATTCTCATTGTATCCTGTTTAATTAAGAGTTCAAAATGAAATCTACAAATTAAGAAAATAACCTATGACAACATGTGAAGTGTGGTGAGATGAATGCCTGGTGTTGGAAGAGGTTAGCCATCCCTATATTAATGAATTACAAGAATTGTATTATACAGTTTGTTTAGATAGGAATGAATCAAGCGTTTTGACTGGAAGAGTGGTTTGATACAGAGGGGTACCACTGTGGTGGCTGTAACACAAACAGTACATTTATGTATGGTAGAGATCTTCTGTCCCTCTCTTTATGTTTTGAGCAATCTAAGTGCCTACAATTCAGTGCTTATTTTTTCTGTCTACTTACACACACAGTGTGATTCAGAACTTAGGATAGTTGACATATTTATGTCAGAATATTTAATTTGCATTAACGTCCAAGAAAGGTGAGATCTCGTGTAACAGATCACAGCATACAAATTTGTCTAACAGTTTACCCATGCCAAAAAAATAATTTTTTGATTCAATTTAAAAAAATAATTGATATTGATGTTGTGACTCTCAGAAAGTTTTTTATTTCAATTTTCAAACTCTTGAGTGCTATAAGATGATACAGACAGCTGTGTTTAACTGTTGTTATAAAGGGTATATAACTGCTATCTTTTCAGGTGTATAATTCCTGTCATTGAAAGTGTATACTTGTATAAACCTTTCATTGGTGTTTGACTCCTATCACTGAAAGTGTATACAATCCTTGAATTAAAGGTGTATGATGTCTTTGATTGAGGGTGTATGATTTCTTTAACTGAAGGTGTATGACTTCTTTAATTGAAGGTGTATACGTATGACTTCTTTAATTGAAGGTGCATGACTTCTTTAATTGACGGTGCATGACTTTTAATTGAAGGTGTATGACATCTTTAATTGAAGTCATTTACAGTCCTTGAAGGTGTATGCCACTGACTCCTAATATTGAAGGTGTATATATACATGTACATGCCATTCATTGAACATGTATGGCTCCTGTCATTGATACAGTTATATTCTTCTGATTGGCAAATTAGGTGGTAGAAAAATATGTTGTAGATCCTGTAATTTGAGATTTCACTTTCAGCATCCCAAGCAACAGTTAAGGTATATTGTCATTCCGCAACTTTATGTCTGAAGAAGATTTTATGTGTTCAAATAAAACTGTTTACCATAGTCTAGCTAAACTTATGTAAAGATGGAGTGTGAAAAGTAAAAAAATATTTGTTCAGATTGAGTATGAAGGGTAGGGGTAGGTTTGTGAATAGATTTAGTGTGAAAGGTAGATATATGGATTGAGTGAGAATGGTAGGAATACACGCATATAAGATGGAGCGCGAAGGGTAGGTAAGTATGGGTGTAGATGAAAGGTACACACATGTGTACAGATTAAGTGAAGAGTGAAGGTATACATGAGCTCAGATTTAGTGAAGGAAGGTATACATGTGTACAGATTAAATGAAGAGGGTAGGTATGCATATGTATAGATTAAGTGTAGCGGGAAGGTATACATGAGTACAGATTTAGTGTAGAGGGAAGGTATACATGTGTATAGATTTAGTGTAGAGGGAGGATATGTGTGTACAGATTGAGTGTAGAGGGAAGGTACACATGTGTATAGATTTAGTGTAGAGGGAAGGTATACATGTGTACAGATTTAGTGAAGAGGGAAGGTATATGTGTGTACAGATTGAGTGTAGAGGGAAGGTATACATGAGTACAGATTGAGTGTAGAGGGAAGGTTTACATGAGTACAGCTTTAGTGTAGAGGGAAGGTATACGTGTGTACAGATTTAGTGTAGAGGGAAGGTATATGTGTGTATAGATTTAGTGTAGAGGGAAGGTATACATGTGTATAGATTTAGTGTAGAGGGAAGGTATATGTGTGTACAGATTGAGTGTAGAGGGAAGGTATACATGAGTACAGATTGAGTGTAGAGGGAAGGTTTACATGAGTACAGCTTTAGTGTAGAGGGAAGGTATACGTGTGTACAGATTGAGTGTAGAGGGAAGATATATGTGTGTACAGATTAAATGAAGAAGCTAGGTACACATGTGTACAGATTGAGTGTAGACGGAAGGTATACATGTGTACAGTTTAAGTGTAAAGAACAGGTGTAAATGTGAACAGATCGATTGAAGGTAGGGGTGTACATGTGTATAGATTGAGTGAAGGATATGTATACTGAGTAGTGTGTACAGATTGAGTACGAGTTATCTCCCATTATGCACCAGGATAGAGTCCTTATGCTCGCCTTTTATTATCTTACAAATATGTGTTTAAGTGCAAAAGTGTTGTCATATGCAGAAAGAAAGAGGATCTAAGAAAATTAAGTATTTGTCAGTTAAATGGCCATATGCTTTTTGTTTTTCTGTATTGTTTTTGTTGATTTTTTAAAACTTTGTTTTTGCTGGTAGTACCGACAAAAGCAGTGCTGTGTATGTTGAGGTTATTAAGTTCTGGAGTTCTGTTGCAACATGTGTTTTTAAAGGGTGTTTTTTATTTCTATTTCTTTTTTAATTTTCTGGGAATGGTTTAACTTTAAAGAATTTTCCAAATTCATTAATTTTAATTTACATTCTTAACATAAGTGTTATACCGTTTTGTTACATGTAGTTTTGCAATAAATCTATTATGTATTTTCCAGGGTTGGGAGGTTTTTCAAATACTTTATATTTTATTCTAAACACAGGCAGGGATATTTGAAACTCTAATATTAATTCATGCTAAATTTAAATGCTCTGAAATAATTCCATAATTGTTCCACAATTTAACATACTACTACATTGTGAAACTGAATATGTTAATTACTAGGTATAAATACACGCAAAAAGTTGATCAATTCTACATTTGAACTTTTGAATTTCTTTTCAAAGAAAGATCTGGATTACTTTTACTGTAAACTGTATACTTTTGAAACGGTCATTTTCTTGTATAATGTTGTGTATATATAATACTACCACAGATATTCTCAGAGTTATTTCAACTCACATGTTATTTTTTTTGTATACCTCAATATAATGGTTCTCTAGCCGTTATCTCTACACAGATGTGTTCGTCAGTGACTGTCATATCAAGATCATGCATAATGAATATTCCATAGAACATCACACTTCATCACACCGTCACATTCATTAACATTTCTATCAAAATTAAAAATTGTATTGCTAAATATTTTGCGTCTGTATGTTTTATTTATTTAAGTAAGAAAATAGTATTAATTCGACGAATAATACACTAATTTTCCTACAAAAGATATTATTTATTCCAAGCAACTGCAATTCCAATGTTTTCAATATATTTCTGAAGGAAACGAGCGACATTTTTGAGATGCATAACATTTCTTGCACTTAAAATGAAATATAATCAAGCTAATGATGAATAAATATAAAATTGAGATGGTTGTAAAATATTCTGCATAATTAAAATTAAAATGGTTGTGAGTCATTATAAACATTGTCACATTTAAACTGAAAACAATTTAAAAAAGAGCATGGTGAATTCCACTTATCACAAAGTTGCTAGACACAATATTCCTGATTTTGTTGTTTTTGTAACAGGTTTCACAGTTGACTCCTTTTTAAGAGTCTTCATTAACTAGATCAGTAAACAGAATTTTGACTAAAGAAAAAACCCAGAAAATTATACATTTTCAAAATGTAACGTGTCCCCGTTTATCAAGTATAAATGCTGTATACACTGATTTGGATAATGATTCAAACCTTTCAGTGTGCTTTAAATTTAGTGAAATTTGTTTTAATGTAAGTTTTGCCAAAGATAGTTTGGTTATAGTGCTTTACCTAAGGGATGTGCTGTTCATGTCAAATTAAGACATGCCCATTAAGTGCAATATTTTTTTCATTAATATCTTCATTGACAGCAAATCTGAAAAATATAATTTTCTATCAACAAGTAACTGATTTTGTAGCCATAGGAAAAGAATGTGACATACTAGCCAACCCTTATACAGTGTTGTAGCTTATCATATTGTAAGGGCCCTGTATCCCTACGTTCAGACCCCTAACCGACAGTTGGTCAGCCATTTTTATAACCAAATCGTTCATACTGTGGAATTATGGAACTGTACTATTAATAATTGTGATTCATCTTATTTTATTCTCAGTGCTTCAAAACATTTACAGAAAGTTTGAATATGTAATGCAGGTTTTACTCTGGTCTGAGCTGTAAGGATACAGAGGTCTCTGAATCGCTCTAGTCTAGGCCACAGACAAGGTCAGCATTACAGCCAATCATACTGTCGTCACTTGATCTGCCCCCACAATGTATCCAAAGCTAAGTGTTGTGTGACCAGGTTTGGGATTAAATGATGTCATTTAAACGTGACATCATTACAGCAGTTAGTTTGTAGGAATGTGGTGGCAGGTGAATTGAGCCATTTACAGGGACTAACATTTAGGATGTTATGATATATTGTACATATATTAGTTGATATACAGATGGTTGTAATCTGATAAATCTGTGCATGTCACAAAGAAGTCTATGTGTTCATGGATAACTACACATTGCCATTGATTAGCCTTATGATTGCTATTGTTTTTTGTATATGATGGAATGGCTGTAGTGGTTTGTGTTGTGGACTCCTGACATGTGTGCCTGTAGCCCAGACTCATTTTGCTTAATTTGTCTTTACATAAGTAGTTCAGCCTGATTCTAAGGTTAACTACAGAAATGTGGAGGGTTATCTGTGACACTCCAATGGATGAAAGATATAATTGTCCCGACATAAAACTACATCAAGGGACATTAGAAAAAGCAAGACCCCATTAAAATTTACAATATTTTGTAAAATATCTCATTAATTTGCATTTATAAACTAAATACTTTAAATCATATGATAAATGATAATCTACTAAACCCTGTATGTGCTTGTACATATCACCTTACTATGCTATGAGGTTGTGGTTTGGTTACATTAGGGGCGGGTGCATAGTAATTTTGTCAATATTGCGGGAAGTAGATATGCTGCAAGTTTTATGTATTAAGGGGAGGTAATCTGGTGGTGTGGGGAGGTTTCCTTGTTTATTATTCTTGAGAAGGGGCATTGGTAGGGTGGTAGGTTACTTGGTGAAATTATCTATGAGAGGGGAAGATTACCTGATGGTATTATCCTTCCTGTTTTGAGGATGGGGGTACTGGCGGTGATATTGGGGAGATACTTCTTGCATTTCTCCATTGTAGTGTCACAGAGTTGGGCGTATGCAAATCTACTTGTTATGGACTTTGGGAAGAAGTTCCTTAACTCATTTTTACCTGGACACAAATATTGCTTTCAAAGGTAGAGAATCTATAGTACAATTAGAACAGTTGTTGACAATCATGACATAAATGGCTTTGTCCTGTTACCTAAGTTTGTGTTTATTTTAGTTTTTGTAAAAGTATTTGTTAACAGTAATTATACTTATGTGTTTATAATGAGGAACTATTCACATGTATGAAGAGAAAAAGTCCCTCTTGTAAAATAATAGCAAGATGATGAAATGCTGTATTCTTCCCAAAGTACATGATTGTTGTGGATTGTGTGTTGAAACTGTGTGTGTTGGGAAGGGCAGTGAATGCTATGTGTTGAAGCCTTGGACGTAGGGAAGGGCAGTGAATGCTATGTGTTGAAGCCTTGGACGTAGGGAAGGGCAGTGAATGCTATGTGTTGAAGCCTTGGACGTAGGGAAGGGCAGTGAATGCTATGTGTTGAAGCCTTGGACGGAGGGAAGGGCAGTGAATGCTATGTGTTGAAGCCTTGGACGTAGGGAAAGGCTGTGAATGCTCTTTACATGTAAACAACTTGTCTGTTGTTTTGATTTAGAGTTTTGAGATAACACACTGGCGATTGTGTCTTATGTGAGTGCATGCATTGTTAAAAAGTACGAGGGCAAATGTTATGTACACTGTCTGTGTGCCAAATCCACTGTTCCTTTTTTTGTCCCTTTTGGGAACTTCTTTGATGACCATATTGGAGGTGTAAGGGTGTATGAGCTAGGATTACGTGGTTTGTTGCAGAGTAATTCAGAAGTATGCTTTGTATTTGTTAATATTGAGTTGTTGCATTATTTTATATATATAAGTCACAAGTCAATATTCTTACTGTTCATGCAACTTTATTTTTCATCTATTTTTTTTTAATTCTAAATATAGGGATGTAATTGAAAATTTTCTTGAAGAATTTGTAGGATAAGTAATATTTTCAATTTGAAAAATGATTGAAATGAAATAAGAATCTTGATATGATGAAGTACTTGGCTGCTGTCTCTGTATTTTGGAATCTTTCCTTCCCCTTTTTACACACACAGAAATGTGACTGATTGAATCAGCCAATATGTAGATTGCCATTTGATTTATACTCGATGTAAGTTAACATAAGGTGATAGTAGTATACCTAAGTTTTCATAATGTGGCCTGAAATAAAACAATGTCCGAACTCTTTCTTGGTGTGATGACTCGGAGGGGAAACCAAACCGACGGAAACTTATTATTTAAATATTTCTTTCTATCAATCCTCTATATTTTGATTTGCGCTATTTTACTCCTTCAACTTGAATGTTGTTACACATTATCATCATGATTTTTATCTACTTGGTCCTTTCTGTCATCAGATCATCTACATGGTCCTTTCTGTCATCAGATTGTCTACTTGACCCTTTCCGTCATCAAATTATCTACACTATCCTAGCTTTCTGTCATCAGATCATCTACTTGACCCTTTCTGTCATCAGATCATCTACTTTGTCCTTTCTATCATTACATCATCTACACTGTCCTAGCTTTCTGTCATCAGATTATCACAAGGCTTGGTTTCTTCTCCCCACTTTTGTTTACTTCAGCATCACCTGACACTTTCACCCTTATAGGCAGCTGGCTAATGGAGAATATATGTGAATATATTAACACCGTTTTGTACTTTGCGACTATTTGTATTTCAGCCCGAGAAAAAACATTCGGGCTATTGACTGTTAATATTACTTGTACTGGTAGACTACCTGAAGAAAGCTTGCAAATTGAGAAAATGTTCTGCAAAGATTTTTTGCACTGTATTAAGTCTCTGTGCATCAAATTTGAAAATTGTAAAATTATATAGTAAAATACCACTGTATTTTATTATTTAATATAATAAAATAATAATTACAGATTTTTATCTTTTTTTGTTTTTGACGGGGTCATTTATATGATAAAAAACAGGATATCTGTAAAAAGCTGATGGAGAGGATGGACGTGTGCTATCATCACTTGGTATTACCACTTTCAAAAGGTTAAACAAATCAATGTTTTGATGAAGTTGGTAGAATAATGACAAGAGATATTGCGAGCTTGCCCCTGGGAAACAAGTATTGAGTGTAAAAGGTAGGGGTAAAACATTAATGTTCTTAACTATTTGATGTTGAATAAAAATATGTTCTGGAATGAAGCCATCAACAGTGATGACAAAGATCTGTAGAAAAGATCGAGGTGACCTTGAAAAAAGCACCATGAAACACAAACACGTTTAGGATGATGAGCATGTGCAGTGAAGAGCACACTGCTCTTTCAAGAAGATGGCTGGGGTTCGAATTTAAAATGAAAGTCATCATTTTCGATCAGGGAGTGGAACCCCAGCTGTCATGCGAAAGGAAAGTGTGCAATCTATCTGCCATTGCAACACCTTAATTTATAAACAAACAAGACAATAAATGAGGAATGAATAATGATCTTTATTGTCAAGAGTATACACAAATTTCTCTAAAAAACATTTTCAATACATAATTTCAACATTTGATATCATGCCCCTATATATATATATATAAAGCTAGATGAGGCTCTGATCCTGCCTGGGAGTCTTAAACTGACCAGGAGACATCATGCCTGCATATATATACACACACACAGCTAGATGAGGCTCTGATCCTGCCTGAGAGTCTAAAACTGACCAGGAGACATCCTGCCTGTATATATATACACACACACAGCTGGATGAGGCTCTGATCCTGTCTGGTAGTCTGAACTGACCAGGAGACATCATGCCTGTATATATATATACACACAGCTGGATGAGGCTCTGATCCTGTCTGATAGTCTGAACTGATCAGGAGATATCATGCCTGTATATATATATATACACACAGCTGGATGAGGCTCTGATCCTGTCTGATAGTCTGAACTGATCAGGAGATATCATGCCTGTATATATATATATACACACAGCTGGATGAGGTTCTGATCCTGTCTGGTAGTCTGAGCTGACCAGGAGACATCTTGCCTGTATATATATATACACACAGCTGGATGAGGCTCTGATCCTGCCTGGGAGCCTTAAACTGACCAGGAGACATCATGCCTATATATATATATATACACAGCTGGATGAGGCTTTGATCCTGCCTGGAGTCTAAAACTGAGCAGGAGACATTATGCCTGTATATATATATATATACACACACAACTGGATGAGGCTCTGATCCTGTCTGGGAGTCTAAAACTGACCAGAAGATATAATTACTTATGCCACTGCCCACACACTCTGGCTATTTCTGGTTTACTTACACAAGTGTGGTTGATCTTCCAATTCATAATATAATGCATCAATCTATTTACCGACATGACTGAAAACAACCTAGAAAGATGTCCATCTGAAATAGCATCTACATAACCAGACTATAGGTTTACCATAGCACAATCCTTCACCAGTCCACTGGTACTATGTGATCAGTCCCAAGGGTCATAACCAGTTACCATGTGACGCGTCCCAAGGGCTATAGCCAGCTACCCTGTGATCAGTCCCAAGGGCCATAACCAGCTACCATGTGATCAGTCCCAAGGGTCAAAACCAGTTACTATGTGATCAGTCCCAAGGGTAATAACCAGCTTCCATATAACCAGTCCCAAGGATCATAACCAGCTACCATGTGACCAGTCCCCAGGGCCATAACTAACTACCATGTGACCAGTCCCTAGGGCCATAACTACCTACCATGTGACCAGTCCCCAGGGTCATAACAAGCTTCTATGTGACCAGTCCCAAGGATCATAACTAGCCACAATGTGACCAGTCCCAAGGGCCATAACCAGCTTCCTTAATTTTGTACCAAATTCTGGGGTCATTACCAGTTTCCATGTGACCAGTCCCAAGTTTCATAACCAGTTTTCATGTGACTAGCCGCCAGGGTCATTACAACATACCATGTGACCAGTCCCCAGGGTCATAACCACCTAATGTGTCCTGTTCCCTGTATCATAACCTGCTACAACGTGACCAGTCCCCAGGGTCATAACCACCTAATGTGTTCTGTTCCCTGTGTCATAACCAGCTACAATATGACCAGTCCCCAGGGTCATAACCACCTAATGTGTTCTGTCCCCTGTGTCATAACCAGCTACAATATGACCAGTCCCCAGGGTCATAACCACCTAATGTGTTCTGTCCCCTGTGTCATAACCAGCTACAATATGACCAGTCCCCAGGGTCATAACCACCTAATGTGTTCTGTCCCCTGTGTCATAACCAGCTACAATATGACCAGTCCCCAGGGTCATAACCACCTAATGTGTTCTGTCCCCTGTGTCATAACCAGCTACAATATGACCAGTCCCCAGGGTCATAACCACCTAATGTGTTCTGTCCCCTGTGTCATAACCAGCTACAATATGACCAGTCCTCAGGGTCATAACCAGGTAACATGCACCTATATATAATAGCCAGTTGCCCATGGTCTCCAGTTATCACACGCTAGCTCTGTCGGCCTAAAATAGCTAGCAGTGTTGAGGGCAGTGACATGTCAAAATCATGATTTACTGTGGCAATAATACAATGAAGGGGTAAATCCTGTACTTGATCCTTGCATTCTACCTAACCCTTTGGAGCAAACCCTACATCAAACTCCCAGGGATCATTTCCACCTTTAAAGCCCCAACATTAATCAAATTTCAAATAACTTTTCATCATTCAATCCAAACAGGGGTAATTTACACACTGATTACAACATTTGAACATAAAAATTAGTTTCCAAGCTTGTAGTTACCACAAGGAGCTGAGGGATCATATTGACATGACCCTTGTTTCTCTATGTATTATTGCCTTTGTCTAGAGAATCATCACTGAATAGCAAGTTGGACATTTTCATCAAAACAGTCAAACAATCCACATAATTTTTCTCATAAATCCTTTGAAATAATATTATCATGTTTACAATAGATTTCTGAATGGCAGAATAATCTTATCAGATAATTCTATCAATGAAATAACGGATATTGATTTCTCTTGGAGAAGCTGAAAAATGCTCTGATCTATGCACAAGGAACTCGGTTGATCTATACTAGTTTCGAATAAAGCTTGGCATTACATTGTGTTGGTAGAAAGTGATACTTCCTTTTCTCATTCACATAAGATTTTAAAATTAATATTGCAGGTAAAATGTATGTACTTGGTACCTTAACAGTATGAAAACAGCTCAAAATAAGAAAACAAAGTATGAAATCAGTACGCACTCCAGAATAAACCATATATCCAGTGCACACATTGTATGCTGGTACACGTAAGGAAATGACAAAGCAGGAATCGCATTACTATTTTGATTGAGAAACAAACAAAAATCACTGTCACCTAATCTGTAATAGAGGACTGCTCCGAGTGGCAGTCTGAAGTTGAACTAAGGGGACACTTCACAATGCTAATCAATCAGTTTTGCAAATGACTACACATCAAATTAAAATGAGACCATACTTTATGAAAAAAAATCAACTGTATAACAATAAAAACAGATTATGAATAACTAGAGTATATGATACAAATTTGCTTCCATACCTACAGCTGGTATTCATTGTGATTTGTCATCTGTATTCAATATGTTACAGCAAATTAAGTTGTACACACAGGTATCCTGCTCACTACCTAACACTGAAGGAAGGACGAAGTACCCTGCTCCCTACCAAACACCTACACTCTCTAAGCCATACATAGGTGGGGGGGGGGGGGGGGGAGGTCTCAAGAAGCAGCACGAGGGTTTGGAGAATACCGAGTTAAGAGAGACTTGTAGTCAATACTAGTTCATCAGACATAGGTATTCATCTTATTACACTGATATTTCCTAATGGAGAAAAAATCTTTTTCTCTGTCTTTAAGAGGAAACATCTTTTGAGGTGAATTCAGGGGTACAAAGCAATAGTTTATTAACCTATGATTCTAGCTTTTATTTTTACAAATTTATCACCAGCAGCCAAGTATTAAATTTTGTTAGAACACACCAAACCCTTCTACAGTAAGTGAAAAATTCTAAAGCATTTTATCATCTTTTTTTTATATATTTGAATGATAGATTACATGAAAAGACTATGGACAAATTGTACTATTGAATAAATTGCCCTATGACGTTCTAGCCCAGACTGACCAGTGTCCATTATACAAGGAGGAGGTTCTGGTCAGCGATTACTGGGTGTAGCAGAATCATCAGAGTAAAATCACAATATATGATCACATAGATCATGTAGCAAAATTCCTGAGCGATTTTAAGTTTAATGGGAAATTGTTAAGAAAATTAAACCTCAACAGACTTTGTATGCATGTGAAATACAATGCGAGACACAAAATGCAATAAACAAGACGGTCAAAACTGAGAAAATAATCTAAATGATCAATATGTGCATGGCTATGCAACACTGTTAAAAGGGGAAAACTACAACCTACTAAATGTCTACTTTTGGTAGAAATTCCAGTGGTGGAGTACTCAAGTAAAAGAAATCTGCTTTCTGGTACTGTGTATCTTCACCCGACTGTGGCTGAGCTGATTACAGAACAGACTGTTAAACACACAGACATCTTTGTGGGAGGATGGACACATGATGTGGTGATTTGAGACACTTTATCATCAAGCTCACATGTATACAGACTGGCTAAGACCATGTATACACAAAATGGCTAAACTGGCTAATTTTAATAAATGCTAAAATATCACGTTTACCAATACTTATTTAAGAGGTTTATCAATGCTGAAAACATGTCAAACTAAGCATATTTTAAAAACAACAAATGTCCTTGAATGCCAATATTTTTTTAGAGATTTTGAGCTTGAACATTAGGGTATCCATATGAAGTGTGGTTTTAGTCAAGTCAGATGCTTTTGGTAGAAATAAAAGATTTCTTTTGACCTTTAATTTGGGGTAAGCTCTTGAAATGACAAATTGGACGAAGAAATAATCTTTCCTGTTGAACTTTGGGTGTGGCAGTATCTATAATGTAAGTTTCTTTTCCACCTACATCAGACGCTGTATATTGGACATTTCGTAATTTTAGTTTTAAATGTGCTGAAAATTTTAAGTCTAGTTCCGATACATATGATCAAATTATCTTCTATCGGTAGAAACATATAGCCTAGAGAATAAGTAGCATGTGACATCTGTCACACTGGGGCACAGAGATAAATGATGAGAGGATCTAGACAGAGCTGAAGATGTCGGACCTGGAAACTATTTCGACAATATACCCATAGCAGTAACCAGTGTTGGCAGAGTATTCTAGGAATGATTGTACACAGTTCACAAGAGTACATATCGTACTAGTCATAGAAACATCACACAAACATTTCACACGTACCTGTATACAATCTATTCTTACCAACCTGAAGAAAATGTTTCGAGATATCCCAATACACCCTTACCTACATACCTGGGTACTTTCCTGTACAACGTAAAGAAACAATAATATTTAACTGTTTGTGAAAGACAAAAAACGACTATGGTTATTATAAACTTTTCACTGACAATAGGTGTATCTGGTCTTGTTTTATTTATTAACCTAATTGTTTTGACCGTAACCATTACAACTTCGTTTTGTAGCAGACTAGCAAAATCACCCTATAGACGAGCTAACCAACATGTTCATAACTAATAATGTCTTTGCTGCCTAGACCACTCCTAGGATCCTCACAATAACCCGATTAAATGCTAGGCTCGACTTAACCACATCTAGGATCCTCACAATAACCCGGTCAAATGCTAGGCTCGACTAAACCACTCCTAGGATCCTCACAATAACCTGGTTAAATGCTAGGCTCGACTAAACCACTCCTAGGATCCTCACAATACATTCTACAATTCTACCAGTTTCATTCTGATGAAGTGCCACGCCATCAGATCAAATGGGTGGGGCAACATTCTAGTTCAAAATCAACAGGAGAGAAGAAATCCATTGTGTAAAATTGCAACAGTACTAAAACTGGAAGTTGTGTGATTTTGACCTCGGTGAATACCGGATAAGGTTGCTTGAAACTTCCCTGTTTGGTACGATTATCATTATCTATTGACCTAGATTATAGTTCATACATGACATTTTGTTATTCATGTCTTAAATTTTGCGTTTTTGTACAAGTATCATGATCAATTCATAGCCAATGTCACGGGGTTTTTCCAAAGCCATTTTAAGATTGTTTTGGGATTCATCTCGTCATTATTTGAACGGTGTAGACTGAATGCTTTAGTTATTTTTGGAATTGTTTTTTTTATATAATAGTTTATGCAAAACACTAACTTCATGTTGGATACAAAATGAACAATGATCGTGGCAGTTGGCAAGTACACCTCAATATGGCAATGGGCTACATGTATAGTAACACCTCTGGTTAAACATCAAAAAGATCACATCGGGTATCAGATCATTTACATTAAATCTCATAGTGATTATATGATCTAGCTGCCACAACTGAAACGTCACATTTATACAATATTCCACTCCATATCTGATACAATTTGGTCTGGTAATACACAACTACATACTGCCGACACTTGAAAGGTCTAAGGTGTAATATACACACTAGTTTGCAAGTACGTCAATACACCAGATGGTGGACTGTACTTTATGGGAAGAAGAAGAAGTTACCACCCACTGAACTATCAACATGGTTTCCCACTGTAAACAAGAAAATGTGAGTTTCCTTCTGTTGCGATTTTCAATTTCTTTCATGCCCTATTGTCCGTTTATATGTGTTAAGTGATGTCATAGCTACACCATTATTTCAGACTTACAAACCCATACATGACTCGGCCATATATCTTTTATAAAGATATTTCTTGTTTTGTGTGAATGTAGCAATAAACAGTATAAATGCTAAAAAATATGACATTTGAAGGGATTCCAACCTAACATGCTAATTATATATAAAATATCTGGTGTTCAATTAAAAAATGAAGCCCATTGTTTTAACTTTAAATCTGTGTTAAAGCATTGTTCAATGCGGCCATTTGTAAGCATGTTTTTAATCAAACCAAACGGAGCAAAATTAAACGGCAACCCTATCCAGTTCAATCCACCCAAGAGGAAAGCTTTGACTTTACAATCACAAAGTGTGGTTTGAATACAGATGAACACCTACACAGTGGTGTCCCACGAAATAGCTATATCTATATCCTACATCATTATGAGAGGCAAAAACATTCACTTAACATCATGTCAAACTGAATTCAGTCCAAAATGATGAAAACTATGATTTCATGGACAGAATTTATGGAGGAAGTCCAATGTTTTCCCAAATCATAAGTAAATCAAGCAATACACATGATTTTTCATGAATTATTTCAAAACATACAAGAATAATCAAAATATGTGTCATCAACATTTCTAAAATATGACTTTTAAACAACATCAACTAATTTTCCACATTCATACTAAGACTATTATGTACAATAGCACTGTTGTGTATAAACCATGAAAGAGGAGCCTGTGGTACCTATAGAAATCAAGATAAAGCTATGGGTGTCCTTATAGACACAGAGTGTGAAAACCAGAGTGTTTCCTCTTTTACTGCTTTATAGTGATCATACATTGTAAATTATTTCATTGAAACCTGATGAATGGAATGACATTTCATTTCAGATTTTACCTTTTAATCCAATAAAGGTAATGTACAAGGTAGCTATCATTAACAACATCTAAACAAAATTTCAACAAATGTTTTACCGTAATTAACAGTACCAAAATCATAATAATCCACAGGTTTTCTAGTCTTGGCCAAGACAATATAACATGGCTACTATTTCATCTGAAAAATTTATCCAAGCCATCAAACTGGCAAATCTTCCAACATTTCCTATGAATCTGAGCAATAACTGTGATAATTATAATTATAAGATGAAGACAAAACACCTGTCTTGGACCTAAAGTTGTACATGTCTTCGACCTAAAGTTGTACATGTCTTCGCCCTGAAGTTGTTCATGCACACCCATGTTTACCTGTATATAAAGAATTGACCGACAGATTGACGTCCAGCTTCAGAAAATTCCAGATAGACGTGGTCTGGCTAAAGGAAGTGACCGACAGCTATACGTTCACCTTTCCCTCACACTAAGTAAATTCTCTACACTATAAGATAGGTACACATGAATGTCAATGATACACATATCCACTGACAACGGGCCAATGAGGCATTTATCCTCCCCGAAATATTTCCATGTAGAATAGAACAGATGTCAGACCATCAATTAAAATATAACATAGTAAAGATTAGGAAATTCAACTAAAGAACACATTTTTTACCACTTTCTAGGTATGCAAAACACTTCAGTTACATTCTGTAATTTACAAACTGAGGATTCAGAAAAATAGGACCAAATTAATCTTCCAGGCAAGTAAATCTGGAATGTCTCTGTTCAGACAATAATTTTACGGATGGTTATTATTCTTAAGTGTATTCTAATGCTTTCACAGGGCCTAACTATATACCAATTAGCTACACCCTGTGTCTATCAATTCTTGTTGCCTGTCAGCAGTATCCTCCTCATTCCCTATACTGACTAGCTTAACCATCTAAAAGTGCCCTAGACATTAGCAGTGAAATAGGTGGATTACAAAAAATCAAAACTTGTGTACACAATATATCCTACTTCTTCTCTTTCTATTTTCAACTACGAAAGCATCCTATATCTCTTACACAAGACACCTGTGTCAAAAAACACTTCAAGTTATACCATTGTTTACACATACTTCATTTAGCATCCCCTGTAGTAGAAAATCTACCATAATAACAAACAAAAATACAAGTTTTAAGCAAGGGGAATGACTGTATACAAACAAGTTGATGTTCAACACTAAGTATAGTACAGACATTAGTTGGTGAAGCCTCCACAGTATGTAACACGAGCACGTACACGCATCCTTCCATGCAGGCGTAACACACATTTAGAATGTCGCATGAGGCGCTCAACATGCACTCACACAACAAGTCTTTCGATTGCTGACCAGTGCCGTGGGTCGATGGGGAAGTAAGAAATGACCTAGGTAATGTTAGTGAGTTTCCGTAGCTTATATGTTGACACACTGAGATCAGCAGTGCCCCATCATAAAGTCAAGTAGATTTTGCTGTAGATGACTTCTTCTTTTTTTCTTCAATTACAATTGATCAGGAGCAGCATTTTCCTCCTCTTCCTCCTCCTCCTGTGGAAATAGAAAACAAAACCTTTATGAGGAAATTACTAATTCCAAATAATCCTGAATTTTTTCAATTATTTTCTTCATTATTATCTATTTTGAACAAAGAAGCCTGCCACCTGTAAAATGCACTTGTTTACCAGGTAAGCATAGGGAACATAATATATGTATAACTATGTTGGAAAGGAAATAACAAATGAATTGCCATATTATATTCCAAACATGCAAACTCCTGATGACCCTGAGGTGTTAATTGCCAGCAGTGAATCTAGCAGCCACTTCAAATTACCTGTTTGATTCACACAGGCATTCAAAATTACCTTGTGGTGCCTTGTCAGTGTCAATGGGTTCCAGAGATACTAACCTGGAAGTGACTGCTAGATCGCTGTAGAATATTAGTAAACAATGAAAATGATGATGTGTTTTAATGTGTTTTCTGGTAAATACTGTTAAATGGATCCGCAGAGCTGTTATTTTTAGATGTGTCTTGATTTAAAACCATAGTGATGAATCATGGAATAATTAGCTTCGGGACCTAGTATTAACACGATGAACATGACTTAATTTGCCAAAGTTTTTAGTGTTCCAAATGACTAAAAAGTTTGAAAACATAAGTTTGAGTGGTTGAAGTTATGTTGCTAAACTAAATACATTTAGCATAAATTACGTACCAAAGATTGTAAAATTACTTTGCAGTTAACAGAGTAATGCTGAGTTGAAAAGCAGTGGTGTATTTTATGGAAAGCCAGTCACGATTTTTCTTTCTCTATACATAGCTTTATTATGATCCCTTTAAGTCATTGGACAAACATAATACCTAGTACCTATGTCCAAAGTCCATGACAAACATAACACCTAGTACCTATGTCCACAGTCTATGACAAACATAATACCTAGAACCTATGACCACAGTCCATGACAAACAGAACACCTAGTACCTATGTCCACGGTCCATGACAAACATAATACCGAGTACCTATGTCCACAGTCAATGACAAACATAATACCTAGAACCTATGTCCACAGTCCATGACAGACATAACACCTAGTACCTAGGTCCACAATCCATGACAAACATAACCACTAGTTCCTATGTCCACAGGCCATGACAAACATAATACCCAGTACCTATGTCCACAGTCTATGACAAACATAATACCTAGAACCTATGACCACAGTCCATGACAAACAGAACACCTAGTACCTATGTCCATAGTCCATGACAAATATGCCATCAACATATTCAGTTCAAGACAAATAAATCAAGTCCATGACAAACATAATCCCTAGTACCTAGGTCCACAATCCATGACAAACATAACAAATAGTACCTATGTCCACAGTACATGACAAACATAATACCTATTACCAATGTCCACAGTCCCTGACAATCATAATACCTAGTACCTATATCCACAGTCAATAATAAACATAACAACTAATACCTATGTCCACAGTCCACGAAAAACATAACACCTAGTACCGATGTCCACAGTCCATGACAGACATAACACCTAGTACCTAAGTCCACAGTCCATGACAAATATAATACCTAGTACCTATGACCACAGTCCATGACAAACAGAACACCTAGTACCTATGTCCAAAGTCCATTACAAACATAACACCTAGTAACTATGTCCACAGTCCATGATAAACATAACACCTAGTACCGATGTCCACAGTCCATGACAGACATAACACCTAGTACCTAAGTCCACAGTCCATGACAAATATAATACTTAGTACCTATGTCCACAGTAAATGACAAACATAATACTTAGTACCTATGTCCACAGTCTATGACAAACATAACACCTATTACCTATGTCCACAGTCCACGACAAACATAACACCTAGTTCCTATGTCCACAGGCCATGACAAACATAACACCTAATACCTATGTCCACAGTCCACGACAAACATAACACCTAGTTCCTATGTCCACAGTCCATGACCAACATAACACCTAGTACCTAGGTCCACAATCCATGACAAACATAACCACTAGTTCCTATGTCCACAGGCCATGACAAACATAATACCAAGTACCTATGTCCACAGTCAATGACAAACATAATACCTATTACCAATGTCCACAGTCCCTGACAATCATAATACCTAGTACCTATGTACACAGTCCATGACAAACATAATACCTAGTGCCTAGGTCCACAGTCCATGGCAAACATAACACCTAGTCCCTATGTCCACAGTCCATGACCAACATAACACCTAGTACCTATGGCCACAGTCCATGACAAACAAAATTCCTAGTGCCTATGTCCACAGTCCATGATAAACATAACACCTAGTACCTATATCCACAGTCAATAATAAACATAACAACTAATACCTATGTCCACAGTCCATGACAAATATGCCATCAACATCTTCAGTTCAAGACAAATAAATCATTACTGTCTGCAGTTCACAAAAATATATACAATTAATGTCTACAGTACATGACAATATACAATGTACCACTGACATCAGTCGTCTTTGCACAAATTGCTGAAAATGGTACATGTATATGGCGCTTAATGACATGTTTAACAATACTTTTTCTATCAGTCCTGCTATTAACTTAAAAGCGTACATTAACAAATTAAAGCATATGATAAAATGCAGCTTTCTTACATTATTATGATAGTTTGCAACACTTTTAAGCATAGCAGGGAATATATTTAAACAGCACTGTATTACATACCATCACAAATCTTAAATAGATGCATATTAATCCTTCTGTTTACATTCACAATATCATAGATCAGTTTATTTTATCTCCACACTTCTTTTGGTGCATGGTACATTATTTACTGTTCAACTAACAGTGGACCATCCATATTTGCCTGAACAATGTCCTGTTTTCAAAAGTTCCCATTTCATCAGATGAAAAACATCAGTTAGAAACCATTTGGGAATTTCTGTCTAATTTTCAACTTCAAATCACAAAATGATTGGTTCTTGATTACTATAATAGTACGACAGAAAAAAAAACTCAACAGTTTCCGACTGGAGAATGTTTAAATGTAATATTTATCTGTGTTATTCCTGCATAACAAACAGGTTTATTAGGAGGAAGTAGATAACTCCATCAAATACTATTTATCAGATGTTACCATTTAACTGGAAAGTGATGAAGGGTGCGAGGTGACTACTTTGTTGAGGGTGGCTGTTGGTAAGTTTACAGTAGTGGAAGTTGATGACCGACACGTAGACATCAGAGTGGAGACTGGTGTTAGGAAGTTCTGTGCCACTTGTACATAGAAGACAGGGAGGGGGACACCACACAACACACAAACACATGCAAAAGGTGTGCTACAGTCATGTTGCTTAGCGTTTCATTGTAGAAATATAAGCCAAACAAAAGCGGTAAGACATATTATTAACAAAACCACACACACAACAATCAACATATCAAAATTCTATAGTATACTCATTCTAAAGGACCAACAATCAACATATCAACATTCTATAGTATACTCATTCTAAGGGACCAACAATTGGTAAATAATATAAGATATTATTAACCTAATTTTATCATAAACAGTTCACAAAAATCTCAAAAAAATAATATTGTAAGTGCACCGAAAGTTTCAAGATTCAATTCTGTGTGATCCCAACACCTTCCACTTAAGCAGATCCAAATGTACTGAATCACTCAGAACTAGCCTACTGAAATAACATAGCAATATATGTCCCCTGCCAGAACATAATGATTAGTCAAAATACATCAATCCACCATGTTTCATCAAAATATGTTGAGGCCTGCTGGTTATTACATGTGTTACAATACTTTAACCCTTCACCTTTATCTAGCTGTGACCCTGACCTTGTCATACACACATTAAGGGTGCATGACACACTAGACTTCAGTTATTATAATAATACATTCATCTATAAGTTTCATAAAAAAAAATAGGCTCAGACAATTATTACAAATGCTGTGGTCTTGATCTTGAAAGTATGGAGGAAATTTAATGCGACACACTCAGTTTTGATACATCAAAACACTACAATGACTTGACCTTTGATCCCTAACTGTGACCTTGACTTTGGAGGAATGGATCTGAGATTTGTACATGACCCATCATTTTGTTCAGATATGCCCATCTATCAAATTTCTATTAAAAATATTTTGCTGTAAAAATAATTGCCCATGCAAGAGTATGAGTCAGACTGGTTCAATACCAAAATAAAAACCTCTATCCCTTCATTTTCACTAGAAGGAACCAGTAACAAACTGAAGCTGACTGAAAAATCATAAATCCAAGATCACAGGGACAATCATCTGTAGAGTCAACAAATAAGACTTGTCGCAGGGAAATATCTAAAACGGCTGGGAGATGATTGACTGGAAATTATTGTGATAGTAGAGAAAAAATAAATGTTTAAGTGTATAGAAAGATAACAAAGAGTTCAAACACCGCAAAATACTTAGAAAATAAACAAACCTGTTCATGATTTCTATTTCCATGTCAGAATGAGCTTACTGCATACAAAGAAGGGAAATCAAGTGAACACAAGCACAAAATAGGTAATATAGTTTACATAAAAGCAACAAATTTTATTTTTAAGCTGAAATGAATTAACACAGTACAATATTTTCACAATTGACATGGTTTCACCAAAAGGATTTATCCTGTTTTAGACGATGCACAGTGTTCAACTTTATAATTACAGTACTTCAATTTTTACCTCTAACACATGCACTCCTGTTCACAAGTGTTCACACCGTGTATATTGTTATACAGTGTGGTTTAATCCTCAACTGAGTATTCATCTCTAAGCCTAGTATTCGATATCCATTATTGCAAAAATCAAACTCATTTATTGGTAACAGGAGTATTCAAATTATTTATATTATATTTAAACAAATACTCAATGTTTCAATCAGTATAATATTCTGATTAAATTGAAACAGATCAAATTAATACTCAACATTTCCCTAAATTATATATGAATAAAATAAAATACATGTAAGCATTCTATTGACTTGTAT